TTTTGAGTAAGTCGACAAGAAGCAATGTAAAAGCTTTTTTACATTAACAGGTTAGACTATATCAGGCAAAAAAAAATATTATTTTCGACTAGTAATCTTCTAGATTTTAATTAACAAGTCTAAAAACGCAAACATCTTATAGTAGATTTGAGACTGTTATCATAAGTTTACCTAAAGACAAGAGTATTTTTAATTATGCCTGACATATTAAGTAAATAAAAAAAGTAATAATACATTTACATATTACTATAATAACAAATAATTCGAGCGCACGTGAGAATGCATGGACAGTAAGCATGCTGTCTATTTTTTTGGAGAAAAAAACGAGTGTCCCGGGGAATCTAAACACACCAGGCGGTATAATATCGATGCCTTTTTCTCGTTTTTTATAATTAATCCTCCTATTAGTACTTGTCTCGCCCAAAAATGTCCATATTTTTCGCAAATTTTATTTAGTGCGTCACGCCTCTCCTTCCGACTTCTCAACTTCAAAGCACGTTTTACTTCATTTCTGAATTCCTTGGAAGGTTTTACATGGTTTATTCTCATAAATAATTCATTTCGATTATGCCTTCTGATTATCTGGCATGATTTATGTTTAGCTTCGTTTTTCGATGCTTTTTGCGCAAAGTGTGTAACGAGCCGGCAAATGGTACCTAATATCATCAATTGTCGTTATGTAAGAAATTTGCGTTTTACGTACATTAGTCATCGTACCACTAAAAACTTACAGATAATTGCTACATATGCTGCCAATCCAAACACAGTGAATATTGCATTGGTAGCGGTAGGGGTCGTAGGAGCCATTGTGCTGTCCAAAATGTTAATGCGTTCAAACTGTTTTCTTGCTTCTTCCACTAACTTGGCTACCTGCTTCATGTCATCGGGGGGTAATGATGCCGTGGAGAGTGATTGTCGCTCTTTCAGGAAATGCACATCCTCAGCATCAATCATGCTCAAAACACTTGGATCATTGAGATTAATTATATTTGAGTAAATCTCATGACTGTGATGATGATCCGCGTCGAGTATGTTATCCATGATGACGCATTGTAACGTGTCCTCGATAATGGTTCCTGATGGCAACACATTACGCCCTTCCTATTAATTGCATATTATAATTATTAATTACTGTTGAGAGCAATAACAATAATAATAAACAACTTAACGAATTTATCAACTTACCACTAGAAAATCCCAATTACCTCAAACGCCTTATAAAGATTTTCTTCTTAATGCAGAGATTATTGTTGTCAAGTATCTCGTAGAGAAATATATCTGCTTCTCTGTTCCTTGATATCACATCGTTTATATCGTTCTGCTCCTTCTTCACGATGTCCGCTTCAAGAGACTTATACGGGCGTCCAATATTACAAAAATACATATCGTCCTTCATGATGGATATCGCCATTTTCACATTGCGATTGATCGTCTGCTGCATCGATTCGGGGCATGAATCCATTATCGTTGTTATCGTTTCGTTGGATATCTTCTGGGCAATGATACTGATATATTCCGTATTCTTCTTCCCAAGTGCGCATCTGCATATTACGCTTCTTTTGTTTGAGGAACTTGATTAATTTCCAAGTAGAAGCTGGTTACTGAAAGTATCTAGCGTCTGCAATACTAGTGGATGTAGTAGTACTCATGGTGGCGCGTTGTCTCTTTCTTGGAGTTACGAATAGGGCGCATAACACATTTCGTTCGTGTTTCTATATAAATTGAGATAAGACTACCGTGAGTGGATTCACGGTAAATGTGTGGGTGTGTGGGTGTGTGTCAACAAACTGAAATTTCGAAGCTCGAAACCTCAGTCAATTTATAAGAATTCGCGTTTACTAATACAATAAAACTCCCTATTTTCTATTTTTATAAATCATATGTAGTACAGCATGGCATGCTATGTAGTATTACAAGGTCAACCCTGAAATCCGCACTTTAGCCCATTAAAATTACCAAAAGATTTTCTGAAACAAACATATCAAAATTTACCCCGATAATCCGAATAAAATGACGTAAGAATTCATTTAAGCCAATAATATTGATATTGTAAACCGAATATTGGCCCGATAAACCGCATATTTCGACAATTATATTTGTCTATAAAATTGTTTACAACATCATGAATTCAATCAATCGATATGTTAATAACTTTCCTAGAGCAAAGAGAGTGGACATTGGCCCCTTAGCGAAAATTATATATATGAATTAAATCAATGTAAAAAAAATGCGCCAATCAGAGCAACCCCGCTAATCCGAAGAAGAATTGCTGCACCGACATCTTCGGTTTATCAGGGTTGACCTTTGTATGTTTATTTTTATACGAACAATAACACATTGCCCATCATTTTCTCACGTAACAAAATAAGGAATCACTGTTTGAGAGTACAGCCCTTGATCACTTGCGTAATGTAGTACAGGATATTTAAGTATCGATATAGTAATAAATTAACCACACAACAATAACAGCGTTGATGACAATCATAATTAACTTTTATACAGGTCGTTAATGTCCTTTTCTTGTTAATTAAAAACATAACAATAACGATATTAGAAATTATACTCCCCCAGCTGATTCCAACCCAATCCACATCTCTACTCAATAAGCCAACTGGTCCCCCCCTAGGATATCAATGTTCCTTTCTAATAGACATTATCCTTCTCCTTTAGCCACACTGATACTTCTGTGACTGATAATGATGACATTTATGTTGTTTCTGTTGTTATTACTGTGCACTTTGACTGTTATACACAATTCTCGACCAATCTGACTGTTATGTAGTATTATAAAGTGATTTCGTTTTGTCGATCGCTGTAGGTTGACATTATTTGGACAGTGGTAATATATATTTAACAAAGACAGACAGAAAAATGTTAATAGATTGGTGAGAGGATGGAGAATGATAGGTTAATGGGTACTCATATCCAAACGCAACATTAAACATGTTAGAGTAATATTTACAAGCATAGCTTGTAAAGAAGAAGAGGCGATCGTTGCGCATTAATTTATTAATCCTTTTGCTGTTGACAGTTTATCTTTGATTTACAGACATACTCGCTCGGCGTACGTTGAAGAGAATGTACATATATATTCATAATATGGTCCGGTGCAAAAAGATAGATACCTCAGATTATTGCAAATAAATTTTTTAAGAAAAATTTTTTCTAAAA